CGAGAGGAGAGAGGAGAGAGATCGATTGAGATGGAGAGAGAGAGAGAGATGAGATGAGAGTGAGAGACGCAGACGAGATCAGACGCAGACGAGAGAGGAGAGAACGGAAGTAGAGAGAGAGAGGAGAGAGAGACGAGCAGAGAGATCTCGGGTCACCTGTCTGTGCGCAGGCCATCAGATCTCTCTTTGCGCTCATGATGGGGATGGCGTGCTTCTGCACGGGCGTCGGCACCGTGTACTTGCACATCTCGATGTTATGCTTGATGATGTCGCAGAATTTCAGGTCCGCAAACTGCAGCGAGACATAAACGCAGTGGTCACACACCCGCCACCCCGATGCAACACACACGACAGCCACGCGATAGGGAGCACACACAACAAATCACCGGTCTACGCCGTTGTAACATGTTTTGCACATGTTATATTGCATTAGTAAATGTAGAGGGCATAGGTTAGGATTGGCCGTTTAGCATATAGATTAGAAATCGTTAGGTTGGGAGAATTAGGCAGTTAGCAGATAAATTACAAACGATAGGTGGCGCAGGTACATGTGCGGCACACATGTACCGTTGGCGCTTAATTATTTGAATAAGCGGAGTGCTGGTGTGTGTGATTGGCTGGGGTAGAGTTGAGCTTGTCAGTGATTGGACGAGAGTGTCATATAATATAGAGCGGCAGCGCATTTGAAGGAGGTTGGAACTGGGAGACGAGACTGGAACTGAAGACGAGACGGTGACTGTATATTTGTAAGCAATATATTTCTTTAGTTGGACACAAATTCTATGTACGTCTTCTTGATTATTTTACTCTAAATTAATACATATAAACTCGTCTTTACACCGTTGCATCGATCACTGGTAACAGGACAACCAGTACGCAACAAATCGCCCGGTCTATGCTCACCGTTGCATTGGTCAACGGCCGCAGGACAACCAGTGCACGACAAATCGCCCGGTCTATGCTCACCGTTGCATTGGTCAACGGCCACACGCGCCAACCAGCACACAACAAATCACCCAGTTCACACTGTACACTAATGCACTAGCGACTGGACGAAGGCAAAAAATCGATGTACATCAGCACTTAACATACTACGATAGAGTGTTTCGGCAGGGATTATTCTACTCGCAAAGATTACGGTCTCCGACTTTTCGTAGTAGTTTCCGCCTCGCATTTCTACAGAATCTGTAGGAGCGCACTTACACTCTGAATGGCATCCGGGGGCGTTTCGCCGCTGACTTCTACCGGGATGTCCTCATACTTGTCAAAATTGATCCCAGAGTGAGAACTTCCAAACAGCTCACTGCACAGAACAAAGCACGGCTTTAGCTTAGCAGGGTTTGTACCGGGAAACAATAACAACAACGGCAAACAATAGCAACCTAATCTTCAACACACGAGAAAGTATCTAGCAATACAAAAAATAATCTACGGATGAACAACTTTTAGTTATTACTTTACACCGATGTACCAGCATGTTACTTACCTAGATGTACTCCTACTCTCACATCTACAATTACTACATAAATCACACTATCACTGCAACACACTTATCCTGCGATATGACGGATGCTAGAGTGGGATAGTGGTACCGACCATGTACAATCATTAACATAAATCACACTAATCACTGCAACACACTTATCCTGCGAATCTGCGATATGACGTATGCTAGAGTGGGATAGTGGTACCGACCATGTACAATCATTAACATAAATCACACTAATCACTGCAACACACTTATCCTGCGATATGACGGATGCTAGAGTGGGATAGTGGTACCGACCATGTACAATCATTAACATAAATCACACTAATCACTGCAACACACTTATCCTGCGATATGACGGATGCTAGAGC